AGGTGAGGAATGAAGATTGCATTTCAGTTAACCATAATATAAACAAATGAATGTAATAGTGAAGCTGCTGTTCCATCCCCATCCGCTGTGCAGATCCTTCAAGTATACCATCTATTAAGGGAATCCTTCACAACTTCATCTAATACCTTTTTCTTTTGGCCAAAAATAGGAAGTGGCGGAAAGTCGCTACCATCCATTCCTGGGTCAATGGCTGCCCTGTCAGAAACTGTAAAGGGAGAAGGAATAACCTTGAGGAACAAGAGGAAGAGCCAAAACCAAGACAAAAGTCAGATAATAGATATTTATTTAGTTCTGTCTAGGGCAGAACTGTAACCCAAGTAAGCATCTTAAGACAAGATCTCCCTAGTTCTCACAGATATAAAGAGAGGAATGGAGGGGAAACACATTCAAATTTCTGTTATAGTATCTTTATAATGTAAATAATATTAGCATATATAACTTTCCTAGTGTATCTTGGAAGGGCTGACAGAAACTCAGAGTTCAGGAATGAGACTAGTACAGGTGATCCTTGACTTACATCCATTCATTTAGAGACAGTTTGAAGTTACAATGGCACTGAAAAAAGTGACTTATTATCATTTTTCACAGTTACAACCATTGCAGCATCCCCATGGTCACATGATCAAAATTCAGTTGCTTGGCAACTGGTTCATTGCAGTGTCCCAGGGTCATGTGATCACTTTTGATCTTCTGACAAAGTCAGTAGGAGAGAAAGATTCACTTAACAATTGTGTTACTAATTTAACAACTGCTGTGATCCATATAAGAGTTGTGACAAGAAAGGTTGTAAAATGGGACAAAACTCTCTTAACAACTGTCTTGTTTAGAAATGGACATTTTGGGGTTATTTGTGGTCTTAAGTTGATATGTATACTGAGGCATAATAAGCTTGTTCAGAGGAACTTAAAGGAACATTGCAAGGGGAACAATTCTAGAAGCAGCATATTTTCCTCTTGTCTCAAGCATGGAAGGAAAGCACATCTTTGGGTCTGTGTGAATGAGCCCTCAGGTCTCACTGCAAATTCTGTTTTCAAAGTTGTAATGTGTCTAGTGCTGCTAGTGGTTTGAATGCATATTTTGGAATCATCTAAAATCATACTATTTGTAGTAATTGTCACAGAGGCTGAATGTATGTCAAACTTTTTTTTAAATTTGTTAAGGGAAGTTTTTTTTTAAAAAAAAAACACAGTTGCATCAGAAACAGCAGGAAATTAAAATTTCAGTTTGGAGATATGTGCATATTGCAAAATATTGTGGGTACTTATGACATTTAGTCAAGCCAATATGGCTTAACTGGAAATGCACATATCTCCCCCTTTCTCACTGTTATCACAGCCCATTTTCCAATTCTACTGCTTTCTCATTTGTTACAGGATAAAAAGGTATTCTTTAAACTAGGATAGGACTAAGCTTTCTGTGGTCATCGAGTCTCTGCTTACAGGGACAGTGGCTGTAGCTGGTATTCAGGAGCTGTAAATATGAAGCAAAAATGAATGGATGGTGGATAAAAGTGGATCCCATTTAGCATATCTGATGCTAAAATGTAACAATCGGAAATGCCAGAATATAATATTAGAACTATTCCTGAAGAAGCAGGACCCCTTCTCCTAAACAATAGCAGGGATTAAAACAGATTTGTCACAAATAGTTGAACAAATCAACATTTCTCCCCAGCTTTGCAAAAACTCCTTATCACACAGATGCACTCAAAATATTTATTTACTTATCTAGACTGTTCATATAACTGTTCACCTCACAGCAGGGACTCTGGGTGGAGAATAGAGGATTTAAAGCAAAAAAAAAAGAGCGGGGTCCAAGCAACACAATCAATAAAAAAATACTTCCAGAGACAATCAGTATGAGACATGCCTGAAGACTAAAAGTCATTCCTTTTTCCAGTCAAAAATAGTCGAGAACTAAACTAACCAACCAATCGGATCCAGTTAATATTCTGGCTCAAATACCCGAGGGATCAACCAGCCCTTTATTGTCTTCTAGGAGGCTAACAGGGTGAGACCATCCTGATCTCCAGAGGTTTCTTCTCCCACAGGGTAGGAATTGTGACAGAGAAGGCATCATTCCTAGGTCCCACAAGATGATATTGCCTTGTAGAAAGATTTACAGCAGGGGTATCAAACTCAAGGCCCATGGGCTGGATCCGGCCCACAGGGTGCTTGAATCTGGCCCATGGGGCTGCCCTGGAAACAGCAAAGGACCGGCCTGTGGTGCCTCTGCCAGCAAAAATGGAGCTCACAGCCCTCCCGAGCTTCATATCCTCTTGGGGAGGGTTGTAGGAGGCCATTGCAGCCAAAAACAGAGTTCAGGAGCCCTTTTTGCTGGCAGAGTGTTCCTGCCTCCATAGGCATCCCTGACGCAAGTGACATTCAGCTGGCCCCCCCGACTCTCCAGGTCAAACACAATCCTGATGGGGCCGTCAATGAAATCGAGTTTGACACCCCTGATTGAGAGCATGCCAACT